TGAAACAATAAAACTTCTTAAAGAAAACATAGGAGAAACACTTCAGGAAATAGGACTGGGCACAGACTTCATGAATACTACCCCAAAAGCATGGGCAACCAAAGGAAAAATAAACAAATGGGATTATATCAAATTATAAAGCTTCTGCACAGGAAAAGAAACAACTGTCAGAGTTAAAAGACAACCAACAGAGTGGGAGAAAATATTTGCAAAATATACATCTGACAAAGTATTAATATCCAGAATACACAAGGAACTGAAACAACTTTACAACAAAAAAACACAAGTAACCCAATTAAAAAATGGGCAAACGTGGGTGGCCCACCACAGCCACCACAATAAACATGGCTGCTGCAAAAGAACCTAGACACCACAACCACCACGCAGATGGTCCGCCAACCACTGGAGTGCATTCACACAAGAAGAGTCACCAGCAGAGACAAAGAAAAGAAGAGGATGTTTCTCTCCACAAAACCCATTTCAGAGTGACAGAGGAAGCATCTGCTCTATGGTAATATCGGGGGACCTGATCACACCTCTCAGCATTGGACAGATCATCTAGGCAACAAATTAACAGAGTAACCATTATTCTTTCAGAAGGAGAGAAGAAATCTAGGGCAATTGGTGGGGAGGGGGAGGGAATGGGGGAAAGGGAGGGAATGGGGGAAGGGGAGAGATTGGACAAGGGGCATAAAGAATAATTACGACTTGTACCAATATATATGCTAGTAATATTGATTTAATCAACATATCTCAGTGTTCAACCCCAAAATGTATAATTGATTTTGATTCAATAAATAAATAAATTTTAAAAAATAAAAAAATAAAAAATGGGCAAAAGAGCTAAACAGGCATTTCTCAAAGGAAGATATATGAATGGCCAATAGACACATGAAAAAATNTTGCAACAACATGGATGGACCTAGAGAGAATTATATTAAATGAAACAAGTCAGGTACAGAGAAATATCACATGTTCTCCCACTGTGTGGGAACTAAAAATCAATAAATACACAAATAAATGGGGGGGGGGGAAGGAGGCACAACAATTCCAATTCCTTGAAGTTGATACAACAAGTGAACAGATATGTGGTTGTGGGGGAGAGGGGGGAGAGGGAGGCAGGAGGGAGGTGTCGGTAATGGGCCACAATAACCAACCACATTGTATATTGACAAAATAAAATTTTAAAAAAAAAAATCCTCCGTGGCATTGATTTTTAAGCCAGTGGACAGGGAGTAGTGACAATGTTGATGTACTCCATGGCTTACAGTGCATGGCCATTGGGAATGCCATTCCATGTTATATTTTACTTTTCTTGTACCCAATCCAGCAGTCTCCCACCTACAGATTCTCATTGTGCAAAACATAAGAAATCAGGAATTTCTTCCTTGCTCGATTCCATGCCTACAGCAAGTAGAATTTAATTCTACTCCACCTTCTCTCTGGGCATTTCCACTTTCTGCAGATGGACCAGAACCACACTTGCACATCTTCTTACAGATGTTGGAAACCAGTCCTAACTTTCCTTAGGTGCAAAACCTCAGGTTATCAACAATGACTTCATTAATGTTCCTGAAGTCAGATCTCCTATGAGCAAAACACTGTGTGTCTGTTCAGGAAAAGGCGACACAGAATCAGTAGAGCCACAAAAGCGTTGCTGCGTGCTCACTTCTTGGTCCATGTGTGTAGAAGATGAAGGTTGTGGACAGAAGACTTCTGCAACTGCCTTCTAGGATTCCTTTCTTGATAGCTTTCTGAACTCTTTAGTGTGCTGGGTTCCTGGGGTCTGCATTTGTCTCCTTTCTCCACAAGATTTTAGTTCAGTTGGTTTTGAAGTTTGTACCTAAGAAAGCTCAGGATCATGGCCCTGCTCCCTGTTTATGGGCCAGATAACCTTTCCCCCTTCCCTGCCGGGAATTTCATGGTTAGATGTCATCAGTCATTAGGAAGCCTGGAGAGAATGAATGTGGCTTACTGCACACAGTCCCTACCACAGGACAAACGGGAGGCCTGTGACCCTTTAAAAATTTGCCAGAATATTTTGTGATAAAATGCCCTTATGTTACCCCAAAAGCAACAGAAAGAAGCACCGATAAGTGAGCCTTGGGCATTTCATTTCAGAGTCTGATATCATGCCAGGCTTGGCAGTGAGAAAAAGATTAAGAGCTAAAATGACTCCCTGTCAAAGAAGCCACCTACACTCTGCTGTGCTCCAGAGGCAGGGCTGTCCCGAAGGAAGACACAGATGACAAGTAGCTCTCCTGTATGTGTCTTCAAGGCTGTTATTGGTTGTTAAAAATTGTGTTTGAAATTCTTCCTTCAGGTTGATTCCTCATGCCAGACCGTTATTCCTAAGATTAAGCTGGAGCCTCATGAAGTGGACCAGTTCCTAAACTTCTCTCCTAAAGAAGGTCTGTATCCTCTCTCTCAGCTCCTTTGGGTTATGGGATATAGTCACACAGTCTAAAGAGAAAGGGGACATGCGTGAGGGTGCTGGGATTAGTTTGTGCCACAGGTGTGGCTTGCTTTATAAAATAGCTCTGTTGTTAAAAACC